TCCTCTGTAGATCCTCAAGCCAAGAAGCTGAAGGCTGGCGAGAAGGGCTTTGGGCTGGTGGCCTACGCCGGGGACTCGTCGGACGAGGAGGAGGAACACGGCGCCCACAAAACCGCAAGTACCTTTTCCCAGGGCTGGAGTTTGGGGTACCAGTACCCCTCCTCCCAACAGAGAGCCAAACAACAGATGCCCTTCTGGATGGCTCCCTAAACCTGCACAACAATTTTGGGGTTTTTTTGGGGTTTTTTTTGGCATCCTCTGGTGGTTTTTTTTTCCCCCTCCTAGCAATAATTGCATGGATATCCCAGAACGAACTGGGCAAAAAAACAAAACAACAAAAAGACACCTGGTTTTTACGTTTGCAGAAGCCAATTTTCTTCTTCTTCTTCTTCTTCTTCCCCTCCCAACCTCGGAAGGGCTCCGTTGTTTTTAAAAAGATCCTTATTTTGGCAGCGTTTGTCAATTTAAAAGAGAAGATTTGGAGCGGTGCCCTCCCTTATTGACACAAGGGAGAAGCAAAGAGGAGCCAGGGTTGGGCCAACAGGCCCCAATTTTTCCAAGGTTTTTCCAAGAGAACTCCAAGGGAAGAGCCAGTGGTGCCACTGCCTTCACTCCACCCCCAGTGTTGGCATTTTACTCCTCCTGCCCCAGCTGCAAGTTTGGACTTTTCCCCAGAGGGGAGGAACATCCAGGAGTTGTGGAAAAACTGAAAACTTTGAGTTTTACTCAGAAGTCTCCCATAACTCGGCACTGCTGGTTGTTTTTCCTTGGAAAAGTGGTTTCCTGACTCGCTCTGGGGAACACTCAGGTGTTTGGAGGGGTCCGTGTTGCCCCAGCTGGACTTGGCACTGCAGCTCCGGGACTGAATCTCCTGCAGCCACCCTGGAACTCCCCCCAGAATTCCAGCAGAATTCCAGCAGAATTCCAGAGGGTTCCAGCGAGGGGTTTCCCACAGGCAGCACTTGGGGGGCAGCACTTGGGTGCAGCAGCTCCTGGGAGCTGGGAATGAGCTGTTGGATTGGGCACGGACACAAAACTGCCCCGGGGTGTTCTCTGCGGGGGGGGGGCAAACACAGCTCGGGGGGACACTGGGACTGCTCCCAGTGACACTGGGACTGCTCGGGGGGACACTGGGACTGCTCTGGGGGACACTGGGACTGCTCCGGGGCTCCCAGTGACGCTCCCAGTGACACTGGGACTGCTCT